GGGGGGGACGTGTGGACACGGCGGCGGATGGGAGTACAAATGACGGGGACATGGGAGGGCGTTGGCGACGGACGCGGCGGCGGTGGCGACGGCGGCGGATGGATAGGAGGCGGCCGCCGCGGCGGCGGAGGGAGAGGAGGCGGCGAGGGCGGCGAGGACGAGGGCGCGGCGGTGGCGGTGGTGGGGCGGGGGCGGCTGGGTCGGCCTTCACGTCACGCGAAGTGCCAAGCTTGTCGGAGCCGTCCGGCGTCGACCCCGCCTTGAGCGACTGGACCTCGTCCTTGAGCTCCTGCACCTTGTTCACGAGCGCCTGACCCGTGGTGGCGAGGGTGGGCTGGCGGCGGCGAGCGGGGGAAGGGGAGGGAGGGGGGACATCGGCCTTGATGTAGCGCGAAGTGCCACACTTGTCGGAGTCGTCCGGCGTCCCCGCCTTGAGCGCCTGGATCTCGTCCTTGAGCGCCTGGATCTCGTCCTTGAGCGCTTGGTTCTCCGCGCGTGCCTCCTCGATGTCGGCCCTGCCGTTGATGTCATCCGTCACTGCGTGCTCCATCTTCGAGGCGGTGCAACCCATTTTGAGCGGTGTTCTGCACACGAGGGGAGCGCACACCGTGAGTCGGGGGATGCGAACGCGTAACGCATGTTGTGGGTTTGATTGTGCGCTCTGGGATGGGGAGGCGGCAGAGGCGGGGCCGGAGGCGGCAGCGGCGGTGGCGGAGCAGTGGCAGCGGAGGCCGGCGGCACACAAGAGCTGCTCGGGCGTGAGGGAGGGCGGCGGCGGCGGCCTTAAAGTCGATCGTCGTCTGTGATTCGGTTCCTCGGACACGCCGTTTATGGCTTTTTTTTTATCTGTTGCCTGAGGAGTGAAGCGATGGAGGCGCTCGCCGCGTGCGGCGATTGAGCGCCTCCCTCTCTCTCCGGCTGCGCGCCTGACCGGTGCAGCCTCCGAGTCGGCGTCTAGTAGGCGCGTAGCGCGCGCGATAAGGTTTTTGCTCGCCTTCCCTGGGACCCCATGTTGCGAGGAGATTTTTAACAATACCAAACAACTCTAACACTCACACGTAATTTGGGGCCTGGAGCCCTGTTCACGCGCGCGCGAGACGTGCAGACAGGGTTGCCAGGTGAGAGCGAATGGCGCGATTCAAAACACAAGTTTGTTTGTTGTTGCGATTCACGCCTCGCACAACAGAGAGAGAGAGATGCGCTTTGCATAGTGGGACATAAAAGAGAGCGAGTACTTGGGCGAGTAGGCCGTGCGGTCAACGCTGCCGCGCGCGACTTTGCGCGCGAGGCGGCGCAGCTTGAGAACGGCGGTGGGCGAGAAGCCGCCGCCGAACGTCTCGTGGAGCAGCAGGTTGAAGTTGTTGCGCTTGACAAAGATCGCGTCGTGGTAGAAACCGCGATGCGCCTTGACGTAGCCGTGGCCGGTCTTGTGGGAGAAGGGTTGGCTGGGCTGCCCGCGCGCCTTGCAGCCCATGTTCAGGCGGCGGGCCTTCTCCTCGGTGTTGCCGAAGGCGTAGGAGTGGCCGACGGAGGCGGGCGTGCCGCCACTCGAGGCGTTGCCAACGCCCGTCGAGGAGGTCTTGAGGAGGGGCGTCCAGAGCTTGATCTCATTTACTTCATCGCATCCTCCCGGCCCTGTATGGGGTTCTGCGAGGTCGACCTTGTACCCCTCGTTGTACTGCCGAGTCAGCTCCGGTTTCTCCTTGTCACCGTGCACGACCGCGGCGCGTTGGCCGGGGCGCGCATCGCGTCCGCCCAGGCGGCGAGGCCGCCGTCGTGGGGCCGCCGGTGGTGGGCCTTGTTGTAAAGGTAGTCGCCGAAGAAATCGACTGGCATGCCCCGCTCGAGCGCGACCCGAAGGGTGGGAAGCGCCGCGGAGAGCCAAAGGCCGAGCTTCCGCTGGAGCTCGTCCTGGAGGGTGTCGGAGGAGAGGGCGGTGGCGTACGTACCGTCGACACGGACATCGAAGGCCTTGCCGGCGAAAGGCGTTGAGGCGCGGAGACGAGGCGCGCGGCTTCGCGGTTGTTGACGGCGCTGTCTCCGAGGGACGGGTAGTTCTTGACGTGTATGTTTTGTTGTTTGAGATTTTTAGCAATATCAATTGTTTTGTTGTTTGTCGTGTTGCGTGACTCTGTGCGATTTCGGGCCCGGGGTTGTGCGTTTACGTGAACCGCGCCGTCCCGGGAAGCCCTGCGCATAGGATAACAACGTCTGTCCCACACACGCACAGACGCGCACATACATCATGCTCGGGCACCCCCCACAGTGTAGTGGTGTTAGCACACACGCACTAGCAGAGAGAGTGCACACCTGCCTTGCCCTTGGCGGGTGAGGGTCGTAAGAATCAAACCCTCTTGGTGCCAAACGTGCTCGAGCGCGCCGAAGAGAGACGATCTACGCTCGAGGGAGTTAGCGAACCGCGCCATTCGGGGTGAGATTCTGAAAAAGGTGCAGCACTTCTAGCCGACATCGACAAAATCTCTAGCCCCGCGGCGAGCGGCCCCGCCGGAGGCGAAGAAAATTTTGCCATATTAACGCTCTCTAACACACATTTTTGCATATAAATCGACACCTCCAAACAAGCTCAATATAAGACTGGTATCACTGCAGCACGCCTCGAGCGAGTAATGCGTCTGTTGGCCAATATAATACTTAATCGAGCTTCTCGCGCGCTCCTCAGCTGGCGGTCCGCAGGGCCGCCCGGGCCGGGCGAGAAGCGCAGGCCCGCCAGCCGCACCATGTGGTTCACGATGATGAGCGTCTCGGCCGGACGGCCGCGAGCAGCGTGTAGGAGCGAAGCTTGCCCTCGGATGGTGTCTGTGTTGACGACCGTGTCCTCGGCCAGCGTGTGCGCCTTCCCCTTGAGCACCGCCAGCCAGTAGAGCCCCTCGAGCGACACTGTTCGCGCCGATCTGCGCGGACAGCGGCCAGCTGCTTCGCCTTGAGCGACGCGGCCCACACCTCCAGCGACTCCATCTGCCACAGCTCGGCCGTCTCGCCTGCGGCACGCGGCGCCTTCTGCTTCTTGACCTGGCCAAAGACGGCGACCATCTCGCAGTCCCCCCACTGAAGAGCGATGCACGGCGGGCAGCGCATGGAATACCGCGCCGGTGACGGGGAGCCGGTGCGGGGGTGAGGAGGGGCGCGTGACGTGTGGCAACATGCGGCACACTACACGGCACGGCACGATAAGCACAGCACGGCTCAATACTAGCTGTACATGGTCAGGAGCCCATCCTTCCGCGCGGCGGCCGCATCCTTGCAGTCCCCCGCGAACATGTGGACGTCGTGTGACCCGTTGAAGCCATCAGCCTTGTGGCGCTCTTGGGGACGGCGAGGGCGGTGAACTTGGAGTGCCGTAAAAGATGTGCTCGATCGCCCACCAGCCCTCCTTGAACGACCTTGCCACAGCCGGGGTCGCCCGCGCCTTTGCGAGATCGAGGACGAGCTTGGGAGAGCCGGAGAATATGAAATCGCCCGACCGGATCGCCTCAGTGATCGCGTTCGACGGCAGGTTGCTCAGAGCTGCATCGCAGATGTTCTTGCGGCACGGAGGGGTAGGTCGGCTTCATGGTGCCTCGACGACCAAGGGCAAGGCGTGGACACGGCCCATCCAAGTCGGTTGCGCTGAGGGGTTACTACGAGGTCTCTGCGTGGGGGCGATCCGGTCCCTGCGCCCCAGTCGATTGCCGCACAGTTCGTCGTAGTAACCCTATCATAAAGCTGTCATTCCACCTTGCACTTTGAAAAAAGAAATGCCCACTGTTGTCGAAGATCCGGAGGGTTAGGAGCATCACCCTTCGCTCTCACCTTGAGCACTTGAGCACTGGATAGGGTCGATTCCGCATGGTACGGGACCCGCTCTCACCTGGGTCCTGGCAACCCTGTCTGCACGTCTCGCGCGCGCGTGAACAGGGCTCCAGGCCCCAAATGATGTGTGAGGCTATTGCTAAATCTCTCTCTCTCTCTCTCTCTCTCTCTCTCTCTCTCTCTCTCTCTCTCTCTCTCTCTCTCTCTCTCTCTCTCTCTCTCTCTCTCTCTCTCTCCCTCTCTCCCTCTCCCTCCCTCTCTCTCTCCCTCTCTCTCTCTCTCTCTCTCTCTCTTGTTGTGTAGGGGGTTGGCGCCCGCATACTCGAGTAGGTAGGAGGTAGGGCGTTTTGGCGCAGTCGTAGGTAGGTAGGTAGGAAGGCGAAGAACTCCGGACTCGACACCAGCGCGGTATGGGTGGTCGTGCAACATAGGTCTACCCTGTGCTGGACTGTCCGGGGGGGGGGGGGGGAGGCCGCAGCCGGAACCCTGAGAGGTTCGGTTGGCTTGGCTAGATCTACGGGTACTAAGGATGTCCGGGGAAGGCCGCAGCCGGAACCCTGGTTCGGTTGGCTTGGCTAGATCTACGGGTACTAAGGATGTCCGGGGAAGGGGAACCCTGAGAGGTCGCGCCGCTCGCTAGATCATAGGATGTCCGCGAACGACGATCCCGCGACGGACGATCCCCCTGATTCGCTGCTGGACCTCCCTGCCGACGTGCTGCACCGTGTGCTGCAGATGCTTCCAGAGTGCGATGCGGTCGTCGTCGGCGCAGCCTGCCTGGCGCTGTACTCCGCCGCCGCCTCCGACGAGCTGTGGCGCCCGCGCTTCGCCGATCGATTCGCGCCGGTGGTGGAATGCGCGTTCGACGGCGACTGCCCGTCCCCGCCGGCAGACCGCTCGTGGCGCGAGCACTACTTTGAGTTTGGACGCTCGTGGATGCATCTAGCACGCGGCGCGGGCGTTCGTCGCGTGATTTTCGCGATCTCGGGCCGGGTGTACGACGCGACAGACTACCTCGACCTGCACCCGGGCTTGCCCGACTTCCTGCTGTCGGCGGCGGGGACCGACGCCACCGAGGTCTTTGCCTTAGCGGGCCACTCCCGCAACGCACGCACCATCCTGCAAGAGTTTTGGAGACCACAGCTCGACCCCTTCTTCCCGGGCACGGTGGCAGCGGGCGCGCAGGCGGGCGCGGGCCCCGGCTCGACCGAGGAGGAGGAGAGCGCGTGGCGCGTGCTGAGGCTCCTCCTCGGCGACACACGCGGCCGGCGGCGCCTCACCGACGCAATCGGCTCGCTGCTGCGGGCGTGGGTAGTAGACATGGAGAGGAGCGGCCGCGACCACCCGCCGGCGCCTCTGGAGCCGCAGGCGGACGCCGCCGAGGGCGCGCCCTCTGCGGGCGTCACGCGCTTCGTCCCCCTCGTCTGGCGACTCTCATGGGCCGAACTGACCGCGGCGGCGGGCGTGCTGGAGCAACAGCCAGTGGGCGTAGCACGGCTCGCCACGTTGCGACCCCATGCCACCAGTGCGGGCCTTGCTCTGAGCGGCTGCGAGGGTGCCCCTACTGCCGCGAGCCGGTGGTGATGTGGACCGGGTTCCTCCGGCCCTCTGTTTGGATGCTCTACTAACGATTCGTTTGCGGGGTGGGTAACATCAAACACTCTCGCAACGCAGCACTCACGTGCAACGTTACTCTCAATTTTTGCTTTGTTAAGAAGGACGCCGCGAAATACACACACCCTCATATAGATCTCATCCGCAGTCGCGCGCCATCCGCACACATCCCGATCCCTCCGGCTGCCCCAGAATCCCAACACCCCTCCGCGGCTCTCTCTCTCGGTCTCGCGCGCGCCGACCTGTGCAGTGTGCACAGTGCAGCGTCAGGCCATCCCCGCAGCGGCATGCTCCGGGGAGGCTTGTCAATAGGTGCGCGGCCGCTCAGTTCAACCTACAACCAGCTCGCGATGAGGCCGTCGCCCTTGTTGACGGCGAGGAAGACGTCCGCAAAGACGACCGAAATGATGGCCATCAGCTTCATCAGGATGTTGAGCGCGGGGCCGGACGTGTCCTTGAGCGGGTCGCCGACCGTGTCGCCCGTGACGGCCGCCTTGTAGATCTGCGACTTCTTCTGCTTCACGTCGCCGAGCTCGTTGACGACGTCGGGCTCCACGCGCGCGATCAGGTCGTTGAGGCCGCCCTTGCCGATGTACTTCTTGGCGTTGTCCCACGCGCCGCCCGTGTTGGAGGCCGACACGGCCATCTGCACGCCCGAGGCGATGCCGCCGGCGAGCAGGCCGGTCACACTCTTGGTGCCAAAGACGACGCCGGCGACGATCGGCGCAAACATGACGAGCGCGCCTATGGGTCGGGCTCCGGGAAGGGTCGGAGAGGGGTCCCGAGGGGGGGGGGGGGGGGCGTGGCGCAGGAGCAGTGCGCGCCGGGCGCGATCATCTCGCGCAGCGAGGCGTCGGTCGAGATCTTGATGCACCTGTGCGGTGCGCCGTGGACGTGTCACGGACGCGTCCGGGGCAGGGTGCCGGCAGAGAGCCGGACGCGCGCATGTCCTACGCCGTCCGGTGCGATCTCCCCGTATCTCCCCTATATCTCCCCTCTATCTCCCGCGCATGTCCTACGCCGTCCGGTGCGATCTCCACACATCTCCCCTATATCTCCCCTATATCTCCCGCGCCGGTCGTAGTCGGGTCGGTCGGGGTGGTTGGGGATGAGCAGGTTCGGGTTGGCGTCGAACTGGCGCTTGATCTCGATCACCATCTCGTTGGCCGCCTTGCCAACCGACTTCATCGTCATGGCCGAGAACCAGTACGGCAGCATCGAGCCGACGAGCAAGCCAGCAAAGGTGAGCGGGTCGAGTAGGTCCACGGTCACCTTGGCGCCCGTGTCGTTCAGCCGCGTCACAAAGGCGCCGAAGAGGGCGACGCCGACGAGGCAGGCGGAGCCGATGGCGAAGCCCTTGCCGATGGCGGCGGTGGTGTTGCCCGCCGCGTCGAGCGCGTCCGTCTTCTCGCGCACCTACTCGCAGGGCAAGCTCGGGTGATCTCGGGGCAATCTCGGGGCAATCTCGGGGCAATCTCCGACCTCGAGCGCGTCCGTCGTTCCGGTGAGGAGGAGGTGAAGGAAGAGGTGGGGAGGTGGGGAGGTGGGGAGGTGGGGAGGTGGGGAGGGGGGGAGGCGCACCGACGGATGCAGCTCGCACATCTCGGCGATGCCGCCCGCGTTGTCACAGACCGGTCCTACATGGTCAGTACGCCAGCCTCAGGGCGGGAATGCGGTGTTGTGCAGAGTCTTCAGAGCACCGCACGAGGGAGGCGGAGACAGCGAATACAGCGGAATACGGACGAATGCAGCGGAGTCCGCGTCCTCTCGAGCGCCAGTTGGGGTGCAAGGATACGTATTCCGCCTCTAGGAGGCTGGGCCATACACGTCGATGGTGAGGCAGGTGGCGAGGGTGGCAAGCATGCCGAGCGCGGCGAGCGAAATGCCATACATGCCCGCGAGGCGGTGCGAGCCGAAGATGATGCCCGCGAGGATGAAGACGGGGAGGACGACGGACTTGTACCCGAGCGCAAGCCCAAAGATGATGTTTGTGGCGGCGCCGGTGCGGCACGACTCGGACACCTGAGGTCAGGTCAGGGACACTTCTCCCCACACGCACGAAGGTGGTGGGGCAAGGGCCACCAGGCAGCCCTCGCGTCTCCACGTCTGGAAGACAGGAGCCGCACGGCATTACAAGTGGGGGGGGGGGGAGTGTGTGTGTGTGTGGGAGTGTGTGTGTGTGTGGGAGTGTGTGGGAGTGTGTGTGTGTGTGTGTGTGTGTGTGTGTGTGTGTGTGTGTGTGTGTGTGTGTGTGTGTGTGTGTGTGTGTGTGTGTGTGCGTGTGTGTGTGCGTGCGCGCGTGTGTGCGTGCGTGCGTGTGTGTGTGCGTGCGTGTGTGCGTGCGTGTGTGTGTGCGTGTGTGCGTGTGTGTGTGTGTGTGTGTGTGTGTGTGTGTGTGTGTGCGTGTGTGTGTGTGTGCGTGTGTGTGTGTGTGTGTGTGTGTGTGTGTGTGTGTGCGTGCGTGTGTGTGTGCGTGTGTGTGTGTGTGTGTGTGTGTGTGTGTGTGCGTGTGTGTCACCTCGACGACGGGGCGGTACGAGAAGGACGTGTAGTACTCGGTGATGAAGCCGATGGCGCAGCCACCCCACAGCCCGAAGGCGACGCAGGCGAAGGCGCCGGTCGGCGTCGCGCAGGCGCCAGAGACGGCAAACGAGGTGGGGAGGAAGGACGAGGAGAGCCACCAGACGACGGGCGTCATCAGGAGGGCCGAGACGAAGAGCTGCAGCTTGAGCGCGCCCTCGATGTGCGCCTCGCGCGTCACCTGGGCGGGCGGACGCGCTCGGGTTCGGGTACCGTGGGGGTAGGGGAGGGTGGATTCGGGTACCGTGGGGGTAGGGGCGGGCGGACGCGCTCGGGTCAGACAGACGGCGGAGGCGGCGGCGGAGGCGGCGGAGGCGGTCGAGACGGTGTGGCGTTGCGCTGGCCACACCGTGTGCAACCCTACCCCCAAGGGAGCCCGAATCCAAGCGAGACCGCCGGCGTGTGCCGCCGAGGCTTTTTGCCGAGGCGGCGGTCGAGAGAGCACAGTGGGCGGGTGTCTGCGGCGGGCGCGGGGAGGTGGGTGCACACGCGCGCGCGCGCGCGCCGGGCAAAAGTTGGTGGCAAAGAAGGAAGTGACCAGGCAGACGACGATGCCGGCGCCGGAGATGGTGAGCGGGAACATGAGCGCCGCCCAGCCCGCGGCGACCAGGCCGGGCGACGAGGCGCCGACGAGCATCGCGGCGCAGCTCGCCTCGCCAAACGAGCCAAACAGGTCCGAGCCCATCCCCGCCACGTCGCCGACGTTGTCGCCGACGTTGTCCGCGATCGTGCCTACAGGACACTTCGTCCAGCACTTCCTGGACCTCTCCTGGACATGTCGCCGACGCTGTCCGCGAGCGTGCCCGGGTTGTGCGGGTCGTCCTCGGGCAAGTCCTCCACCACCTTGCCCGCCAAGTCGGCGCCCACGTCCGCCGCCTTTGTGTAGATGCCTCCGCCCACGCGGCCGAACATGGCGACGGCAGAGCCTCCGAGCCCAAAGCCCGCTATGCAGTCGAACAGCTTCATCGCGCCGGCGGTCGTGCCCCACGAAAAGGAGGGGGCGAGGAAGACGACGAGCGCGTAGAGGCAGAGGAGCGCCTGCGCGCGCGGTGGCGGTGGCGGCGGGCCGCTGGCTCCCGGTGAGAGTGGGCGGGAGGGGCGGGAGGGGCCGGAGGAGGGCGGGAGGGCCGGGGGAGGGCGGGAGGGCGGGAGGGCGGGAGGGCGGGAGGGCGGGAGGGCGGGAGGGCGGGAGGAGGAGGAGGAGGAGGAGGAGGAGGAGGAGGAGGAGGAGGAGAGGAGGGTGTGCCGCGGGAGGTCGGGAGGAGGAGGTGCCGCGGGAGGGCGGGCGTTGCACCAGGCCGCAGAGAGAGAAGCCCATAACTCCGCCAGCGCGGAAGGCCGTGTTGAACGACTCTGTCCAGCCGTGCGGCGCCGGCTTGACCGCGCCTGCGGGAGGGGCGGCGCCACGCGTGCGTGAGGGCCGCTCGCACGCGGGCGCGGGCGCGCCGCGGCGCTGCGGCCGCACCGACGGTGCAGCGAGCGTTGGAGAAGACCGCGACGCGCATGCCGATGTATCCCGAGAGCATCGAAGTGAGTGCGCCGACGACGAACGAGGTGGCGGTGAAGATGGCGGTCTCGCGGCCGGAGGACCACGAGACGAGGCCGACGATCACACCGGCGAGGAAGACGACGAACACGGTACACAGCTTGTACTCTGAGAAGAGGAACGAGTTGGCGCCGTTCGAGATGGCAGCGTAGAGCTCGCGCAGGCGCTCGTTCTGTTCGAATGTCTGGTTCTGGCCAGCCTCCTTGACCGACATCATCATCGTCTCGTCCTCCTCCTATAGGAAAGCACGTTCTGGCGTGCATGCGCTGCAGGGCGTCTCAACGGAGCACGAGCGGCGCCTCAACCTGAGCGACATCAAGCCGCACAGCCGCCACTCTTCGATGAAGGAACAGCGCAAAGAAGATGCCAATTAGACCGGTGATGATGATGAGAGACTCGGCGCCGATGGTCGGCCCCACGGGCAGCGCGCCAGCAGGACACGACGCCATAAAGGCGGTGGGGTGTAGCAGGATCGTGGCAGCGGGCTCTAGTTTGTCCTAGTCTTCGGAAAAAAGAAAAACTATGTGCGGAGAGCGTGGGGTGGGGAGGGGGGGGGGGGTGGATAAATATCCGAGTGTTCGCCAGGAAGACCACCAGAGAGAAAGAAACACGAAGGCCACCGAGGAGTGAGTGCGTGAGTGAGTATTCTTCGGCTCACGCCAGGGCGCTCGTTGCTCCTCCGTCTCTTTGTATCTTCCATACTGCATTTATCAGAAGACTTCTTGATACGAAACCACGACGACACACACCAAAACAACTCTAACACTTACACGTCATTTGGGTCTCTCTCTCACACACCAGTCGACTCGCATCGGTTGCCTCCATGAACGGCGGAGCTATTCTCGCGTCCACACCACACCTGGCTCCAACGTGGACATGGCACATGCCCATAGCTGGGGACACTACCAGGTCACGCATGGCATCAGAAGTTTTATCTCTGAGCCCCGAAAGGCATCTCTAGCAGCGTCGTTACGCATGCGCCCTCCCCTCCCCTTAGGGGACCCCTAGGGTTCTGAGGGCCGGATTTTTTTAAGACCTTTTAAGAGATTGGCGGCTCCAGAGCCGCCTCGGTGCGTTTAAGAGATTGGGCCCATGCTGCCGCTCCCATTTAAGAGACCATTTAAGAGTGAATCGCACACCGCGCCCAACCTGAGCCATTTGAGCCATTTAGAGCGTTTAAGCGCGGGGAGGCTGGCGGGCGGGCGGGCGAGCGAGCGGGCGGGCGGGCGGCAGAGAGCGAAGCGCTCTCGGGGCCGAGCGAAGAGCTTTCGCCGCCCGTCGGCAAGTTTTGAGTATAGACCATTCATGGTGTGATCGCGTTTAAGGGCGCGGGGAGGCTGCCGAGTCGTTTGACCGTTTAAGACCGTTTAAGGAATCGGCGGCCCAGCAGCTCTTAAAACTTGCCTAGGCAAGTTTTAAGCCGTTTAAGCCGCAGGCGCCCCAGGGCCCACCCTTTTAAGCCTAGGGGTCCCCTAAGCCCCTCCCTGGGCGCATGCGCCTCACATCTCGCCAGAGCATAAGCTCTTGGTGTGCGACGAGACGAGTTTTTCGCCATCGCCATCGCCGCGAGCAGCAAGCCGCCCGCCGCAACAGCCGGAGGCATCGCCGCAGCACCAGCCGCGCCGCGGTCCCGCCCCCGTTGACGAAGCTCCCTCCCCCTGCGGAAGACCGCGCACACACACACACACACAAACACACACACACCCACCGAGGAATAAGAGAGAAAGCGGATACCAACACAAGAACACAACGCACTCTCTCACATTAACACAAATGCACGTCTCGCGCGCGCGTGAACAGGGCCCCTGCGCTGCACGTCTCGCGCGCGCGTGAACAGGGCCGCGCAAAGCTGTCCCCCCCCCGCAAACTTTAAACCACCATAAACATCATTGTGCAGGGGCAGTCAACCCAGCAAAGGATGTGAAGGATGAGAAGGCGTCACATGTGCGGCATCCCCCCACCCACATCTCCTACGCCTTCGGCAACACCGAAGAAAAGGCCCGCCGCCTAAACATGGGCTGCAAGGCGCGCGGGCAGCCCGGCCAACCCTTCGACCACAAGACCGGCCACGGCTACGTCAAGGCGCATCGCGGTTTCTACCACGACGCGATCTTTGTCAAGCGCAACAACTTCAACCTGCTGCTCCACGAGACGTTCGGCGGCGGCTTCTCGCCCACCGCCGTTCTCAAGCTGCGCCGCCTCGCGCGCAAAGTCGCGCGCGGCAGCGTTGACCGCACGGCCTACTCGCCCAAGTACTCGCTCTCTTTTATGTCCCACCATGCAGAGCGCATCTCTCTCTCTGTTGTGCGAGGCGTGAACCGCGCCATTCGCTCTCACCTGGCAACCCTGTCTGCACGTCTCGCGCGCGCGTGAACAGGGCTCCAGGCCCCAAATTACGTGTGAGTGTTAGAGTTGTTTGGTATTGCTAAAAATCTCTCTCCCACATCATCACTTTGATACCATTGTATTCATTTTTTCTGTATTCCTTGCCCCTGCAGTCTGGAGCCACTCCGCTGTGAAGCCAGCGCACAGCGCCATAGGACGTATTGCGCCCTTGTCGTGCCAGTGTGCTGTGAGAGAGGCTTGTATTTTAAGAATTCTTCTCAATAACAAGGCTGTGAACACCGAGGGCCTCGGTCTTGCGGAGCTCCCCTGCTGTATTTTTGTACGAACTCTGTTCACACCGAGTACCCGGGTACCCGGGTAGCTGGGAGTGAAAGCGGCTATAGAGACAGCTGCAGCCCTTTACAAGCGGTGTGTGCCATGGTGCTCGACCTGGGCGGCTTCGCGGACGGCTTCGAGACCTCCGCCTCACCACTCTGCTGGCGCGACCCTCCCGAGTCCTCCCTCTCGGACTGGACCGTCCACGTCGCCGCACCGGAGCTGCCGCCGGCAACGTACCACGTGCACAGAGCCATGCTTGCGACCGGGCTGCGGAGAAGCGAGTACTTTAGTCGCCTCTTCACCGGCGCCGGCGCCTCCGGCCTCGCCGAGAGCGCGCGCCGTGGCAGCTCTGTCGAGCTGCAGCCGTCGGCGGCGCGCGCCTTTCCGGCCTTCTTGGATTTCGTGTACAAGGGTGACCTTCCGATCGACAACACGTCGGCCATCGCACTGCTGCACCTCGCCAATTACTTCCTCAACCGTGCCCTCTTTGACCGCGTCACCGAGTACGTGCAGGGCGTCCTCGAGGGCGACGCGGCCGATCAGGCGGCGCCTCTCTACCTGGGCGAGGCGGACCGCTTTGGCCTCGACAAGGCAGCCAACGCGTGCGTTGCCGTCTGCGCAAAGCACCTGCTTGGCCGCAAGCCGGGGTACTGTGCCGAGCTCGCACCGCCCGTCTACCTGCGCGTCGTTAGCGCCACCGCGTGCGCGACTCGGCAGCACTCGCTCGCGCTGTCGCAGCACGTGTCAGCCTACTGCAACGCGCACTCCGAGTCTGTCGACCTCGTCCTGCTCGAGAGCCTCACTGCGAGGCTGACCTCGGTCGCGGCCGACTCGGCGCTCGACCTGCTCGGCCACGCCGTCTCGCGCCACGGCGCCGAGGCGCTACAATCTGCCTGCGCGAGAGCGATCGGCGAGGAGTGGGAGGACGCGCTCCTGCCGTCGGTCGCCGCCTCGCTCGATGCGCCGGGCGACCAGGGGGCGGAGTGGGCTCCGCTGAGAGGGAGGACGAGCTATCCGCCCGGCCTGCAGCTCGGCCTGCTCTCGCACGCCCTCGTACACGCAGGGCGCAACCTCGAGCAGACTCGCGCTCAACTCGCGCTCCGCGAGAAACGGATCGAGGAGCTAGAGGCTACTCTGAGCAAAATCAAGCTCAGCTCCAACTACCTGACGGCGAACTGCCGAGAGTGTGGTCAGCCCGCCCGTCGCGAGAATCGGGAGCTGCGAATCATCATTGCGAACATGTAACATGCACATGGTGATGTGCAGACAGCATATGCATATACACATATTAGATGGGGAGAGAAGTAGAGCCTGGAGCGAGAGAGACTGAAAACTCAAGCGACAAGCCCGACACAGATAGAGCGGAGTTATGTTTCATTAGGCGATAGTGGGTACACGTATTAGTTAGACGCGGCAAGCGGTATGTCGTTGTGGCGTACGTGCGGGGTGCGGTGCGGCGCGGTCCGGCGTGTGACACCCTGGTGACACCCTCGGCCCGCACGCCGGACGACTTGGTGGTTGGTGTGCCACGGTGTGTGTGACGTGCACTGTGTATGTCCGCGTATGTGTGTGTGCAGGCTGAGGGAGCAGTGGCTTGTGGCTAGCGCTCAGCCCTCACACGCCTCAGGGTGGGCGAGGCCGCGAACGGCGAGGGGGAGGGGGAGGAACGTGGAGAGGGGAGGGTGGAGCGATATGTAAATGATAGTTAGAGGCTGCGCAGGCCTACCGGTTCACATGTTTGCAGAGCGCAGAGGCAGAGCGGGTCAGCGGCGTGTGTGTCACGTGTGCCACCTCTGACTCAGGTCGTGGCCGCCGGCAGCGCCGGCTGCAACCTCAATCTCTTGGTGGTGACGCAGACGAGGGGATCTCCCACTCCCCCCGACCTCTCGGCGTCGTCTCCTGGAGCCGCCTCCTCCCCACAGAGCGCGCGCAACCGCTGCGCGTCAAACACCAGCGTCGAGCCGACCTGTGTCCGGGCGGCTGCGGCTGAGTCTCGCACGGGAGGCGCCGTCGGGTGCTGGCTGGGCGAGCCGTGCGCGCGCCTCCTCCTCGAGCTTCCCCGTAAACTCGAGCCCGTTGACCCGCACGCGCGGCGAAGTGGAGTCGAGCCCCTGTGGCCAGCGGGGCCGGCCGTCACCCGGCGGGGTTGTGGGGCCTAGTCGGGCGGCGTCCCGCTCGTGCGCCTCCACCATAAACGCAGCGCCCACTGGTGCCAGCAGCCCGGCGCCGCCCTCGAACTCACAGATCACGAACTCCTCCTCCCACTCATTGGCGTCGTCGCAGCGTCGCCGCTTGAGCCGCTCGTCTTCGTGGCGGGCGCGCAACGCGCGCGAGAGCAGCGGCAGCAGCGAGTCGAGCTTCGCCGCCGGAGCAGCGTTCGCCATGCTGTGGGCTACGCGTTTTCTTTTGGCGTGTGTACTCCGTTAACCGGGAGAAACTTCACCGGGAGAAATTTGCCCGCCAAAAGAAATTAAAACTTGATTGGGCCCTCGGGCGGCCTTCTCTCGAGGTCTCGAGATACACAAAGCGGCCCAGGGAGAAATCAACAAC